TCAATAAACAACCTATGCCTTCACACTCTAAGGAAGCACATCATTGGAGAGAAAAATATCCATGCCTTTGAGGGCATATAGATTGAACATTCTAATAAGGGCACGAAACCAAAGGCATACTACTCTTCTAATCATATGGGTTAAAAATGTAATTTTGAGAAGAGGAAAGTTGTGTTCATTATATTAAGAGCACCATCAACATATAATGGCATATTTAGTTTTTTGTTATTGTATACTTATCAAGCCAACGTATCAAACTACCGCCCAGTTGTGAAAGTTAACTTATCTTGGTAGTGTTGCCATCTAAAGCGACCTCATCCAAATATCACATGTTTTATTAACACCATCCAAGCTAAGAAGCCCCATATACTCAAAACCAGCATTATTTTTTCAATTAGTAGATGAAGCTGTCAAATTTCCACAACATCAGAAAATCTTGGCCCAAAACCTTTTATATAAGCTTCCGATCAAAGGTACATTAAAAAATAAGACATTTTTACTCAAAATAATGTTCTTACTTTTTCTTGGGAGCCATCCAATATGTTTGGGGTAAATAGGAGATTTTCCTATACCTGATAAAACATTCATTTCAGAAGCAAATCATTCAAGAGGATAAAAGATGAATGTTGACTCATAATGAAGCCACATACCAAAATGAAAGTATGCAATCTCTTTGAAGTTGAATTGGTGATAGGCTTGATTGGGTCTCCAATGTGATAAGGATTAAAAACTAAAATGCTAGATAAAGAATGTTCGTCGAGTTTAGTCCAAACCAAGCTAATCTAAAAGACCATTGTTCACTAATAATTATCCATGCATTAGTTGGTTGAATCATTGTTTATCCTTTGCACAACTTTCTCATTACATTCTCAAGCCATCATCGGATTAAGATGCACCCAATAAAACGACAAAAAAAGAAAATCAAGCTTTGTGACTAGTATGAGTAATTTCATTCAATCTAAAAAGTGCAGGAGTAATTGATGATATTTTCAAATTACACTCGGGATTGAATATTAAAGAGTAAATTGACAACCTCGTTGAAGAACATCAATCCATCAAAACACCTAGCAAATCTAAAAGATCATTTCATCAAAATCTAAGTATAAGATAAGGCCCAATTCCACAATTTTTTTTATGTCACAAATCAGAAATGTTCTCGAGTAAGCTGATATCCTATAGTTGCAGAAGAAACAAATTGAGATACAGTTTAAACCATTCTTAAAGGGAATTCACCTTGCTTAATCTAGATGGAGCAAAAGCAACATGGAAGGTTGGTTGAACTGATTTGTGTAATCATTCAACTGGGAAATAAGCATGCTACACTCTTTAAAATTTTGAGAAAAATAAAGGAGGTTAAAATGGATGACAGAACAAGAGAAATCTTAACGAAAGCTCAAGAACTATTTGATGAAATCGAGTGATTTCAAAAACTATATCTAAGAGTCAATTATTAAGCAGTCAACTTGGTTCTAATCAGATAACAGATAAAAGAATCAAGTAAAGTGCTAAATAAGTATGTACTTGACAAAAGAAAAGTTGAATTATTCATTCATAAAAGGCTAGCTCTAATTCTCTTATCATTTCAACAAGGCGACTAAAATGATAGTTCTAATTGCGCACAATTTAGGTCATCTCCAATTAACCATTAAAGGAGTCATTGCTATGGCATCAACAATCATCGAGGTTGATGAAGAAGTCAGTTGAACTTATTGAGCGCAAGCTCTAATTGACGATGATAGGGGAAGCTTAGAAATATCATGGCTTAATATAATTTGAAACGGACTTCACATCATTTGTCAAAGCAAGATTTGAATTTAAACAAGGTTAATGATGCATGCACATAGATGAAGCATTTAAAAATAATAATGGTAGAGCCAAAGTCATTTTAGTGAGCCCTAATGATGCATTCCTTAATTTTGCCCATCAACTCAACTTTGAGGAGATGAACAGTTAAACAGAGTCAAGACAGTGCTCGCAAGACTTAACTTTACACACCTACGGTTGCATATTGCATTAATCAAAAGAAAAAAACAAAATGTGTGAGTATAGCACTTTACAAAATGTGATCTATCATCAAATAGTATGGAAGAGAGTGCATTATTTTCATTTACATGTTTCAAAATAAAACTAAATTCTAAAGCAAGCTTGGCACAAAGATGAAAAAGCTCTTCGTTTTCTGTAACTAGAGACATGTGATGATTCAAACCTTGGCTGAATTTAGAGTCAAATAACTTGTAATGATTTTGGACCTAAATGTGTGAGATTTCCAAATTTAACTAATCTATAGCAAAGCTCGTCTTAAGAGAAGATGACAATTGATAAATTTGTAGGCGAAAAAAAGAGAATTTCATGCCTCGACAATAAGAGAATTATAATGTTACTTATCATTAAGTCCTCCGGTGGATTGCCACCAAAAATTATTTTTCATATTTTTAACCAATTTAATGGTATAATTTTGTGGCTTACGTCTTGATTCACAAAAAAGAAATATTATAATACCGGATTACACAATTTTAAACCTTGCTCATGTATTGCTACTTTTGCTAGAAAGTTTAACGCATAAACAATTATTGTACAGCACTCATGACATAAGATGTTGTTTATGGATTTAAAGAATTTCACGTGTCATTTTACTCCATTGACCTCCCATATATCCATTTGCTTGTGTCAACTTAAAAAATTCATTTTTAATGTGGCGGGTAATTTTTAAGGTTTCAGCACAGACTGGATTTTGCATGACCAGAAAAAGTGAAGCTTCTGAATCAATTAACTGCATAAACCAACTGAAATTACCGAAATAATATTCAACATTGCCCAACATCATACCTTCACAAAATAAAGGTAATGCTGAAACTTTGAAAAACACCCTCTAGCCATTTTTGTAATACATAGCATATGGAAAGCACAGAAATGTCTATAAAGTTGTGCAAATTACATCACATACATTCATGTATATTTGTACCAATTACATATCTACATATGAATCTATGCAAATGCAAATATCTAAATACATAAAATACATCAAACAAAAATGTAAAAACAGACAAGAAAAATTCATCTGCATAAAAATGCACCATTCCATCTAATGTCAATGCATATTTAAACACAATCAAGAATGTGATGTCACTTCTCACAAAATTCGTAGACAAATCCATTTTTCATAATGTTCATGCTTATAGAGTATTTATTCAATTTGCATTACAATCTTTATGGAGTTTGAAATATATTTGCTTTTTGTTTGTCACTGTTTCATTTTGTTCATGTTAAACCATAATTTTTATCAGAGCTTTCTTGTCAAACAACACAAGAAAAAGGAAAAGCGAGAAGTAGTTGGCAACAAATTAGGGAGGGAACAGTATATGCATCTAGATTTTTTACTAATTCGGCAATCATCCCTTCAAATTACTATGTTCGGACCATTTATAAAAAGATATCTTCGAACAAATTCTGAAAATGCCCCTAATTTATAAGAAAAGACAAATTCTAATAAAAATCATGGTTTAACATGAAAAAATGAAACATTGACAAGAAAAGAACATACATTTCAAACTCCATGACAAGTCAAATGCAAATTGAATAAGTACATCATAGACATGAACATTATGATAATTGGATTTGACTACTGTATACCCAAACACGATCATGTACCCTAACAAGACTTTTTTAGGAATACATCATACAAACCAAGCCTCATGGGCTTCAGAAACCCACCTGTCGACGTGGTGGAGCTGAGCCTGCCCGTCGAAGTGATTGAAGTGAGCCCACCTGCCAAAGTGGTCGAACTGAACCCTCCAGCTAAAGTGGTCGAGCTAACCCGAGATGGATTATGAAGGAAGACCATCATTGCATATAAGTACCTGTGTCAATTCTTACTATGGTGTCGCCTGACATCCGCATCGTAATCTTTTCACCTAGACACCACAGACAAACTTAGTACTGTGCGGAATATACTTTTATATTTCTTTCTTCTTATGGAGGAAGACCATCATTGCATACAAGTATCTGTGTCAATACTTATTATGGTGCTCCCTGACATCCGCATCGCAATCTTTTCACCTAGACACCATAGACAAGCTTAGTACAGTGCGGAATATACTTTTATATTTCTTTCTTCTTATGTATAAAAGGAAGTCAGAGGGGCCCTCGAGAGATCCTTTGGGAGGACCTTGAAAGGGTGTTTTACCCCCTCTCTCTCTCTCATGACGGGAGAAGCAGAGATCCTTCCTTTGAACCATACCCCGTTGACCGGGGATCCTAAAAAGATACAAAGTGAGAAACACGAGTATTAGACGATGTTTGGCCGCGACTTGGATTTACATTAAATGGGATTATCAAATCTAGCGCAATCGGATTTATCTAACCTTTTGCAGACCTCGCGAGTGACGACGAGCGACTTACTGTAAATTCACCTCGTAGTTGGATTTCATAAATTAGAATTTATGCAACAGAAAGCGAAGAAATCACAAAACTCGAAAGATTTTGAATTAACGAAGCCTTGGTTTTAATTTCTATTGTTTTAATGTTTGGAGGAATTTAAGTTAAATCCATGGCTAATCCCTTAAATATTATGCTACCAAACACCCCTTTAGTGAGACAATCATCGCCTTGTTTATACCTTCCTCCTAAAAACAAGATTTTTAAAGGGTTGTATGAACTCAAGAACAATACGGGACCCTACGTCCTAAAAGAATTCAACAACTACGAATGCAAATTGTCCACTAGAATTTAAAAAAATAATATGAGTGAATGTTTTATGAAAGTATAGCATTCTACAATATCACATTCCAAAAAATTTGACATATTCATTACAGTAATATAGGCTGTCCAGCATTTCTTTCATGTTATTCACATGCTTCATAATTCTCAAAACAACTAAATTAAACAAAGTTTATTAATCTCTAACCAAAAGAAATTTGATTCTTTATGTAGTAAAAACAGAATAAGAAGTTGAATTGACATTTCAAAAATTTCATATAGTAGTAAGAGAATGAAAGAATTACCGGTAAATCATACTTTAGGACAACGTTGTTGCTAAGCATGCTGAAAAGTAAAAAACATGATAATTATTTTCTTGAGGACAACCTTTAAGGGGCATTAACATACATACCACACAATTCTTATGTATTAAGACATCTAAACAGCCACATTTAGCATTGCACTCAAATCTTTAATATCACATCAAAAACACTAGAATCACCTACTTTCTAGAAGTGGAATATAGCTTTTCATGCATAGGTTTTTCATACCAAAGTGTTATTATTGTCAAATATGAAAGTTTACGTGTTAGATATGCAAATACATAATAATTGTGTGGCATGCATGTAAATTTTCCAAACTTTAAAAGAAGAAAAGATTGTCATGTCCAGAGAGCATCTCAAACCTCAAAAGTGATATTTTTTTTCCTAATGATGCAATGAGTGCGAGACAGCCAGGAAGGATACACAAATCTCTAACAGCTCCAGTCTGAGGAGGAAGCAGGATTCGATCTATTTCGCATCGCCCTAACAAGCTAATCTGCATACATGACGAAGAAGATTCATTGTTAAGTTATCAATATTATCAAGAATTGAATGAAAGAAATAGTTTCTTTGCATAAGTAAACAATAAAGTTATACCTTATTCAGGTAATGCTCACTATCTTGCCCAGGTTTCTTCCCTGAGACTATCAGAATTTGACTAGATGCATCAATTCCAAGAACTCGTGCTCCATCAACTGGAATTTCGTTCTGTCCAAATGGAACATACAGGAGATATTATCAACTTAACTAGACAGGACTAGAAAGAATATCTCATAAGTAAATGGAAACGTTAAAAACACAGAAATATGTATTGAGTTGTCAAGATATTGTTGACACCCAAGTAAGAGTGCAACTGAGCCACGACGAATCGTGAGCCAGCTTAGGCTCGGTTCAATAAGTGACTCGTAAACTGAGCTCCATGACCTAACAAGTTAAGCTCAAGCCAGACCCGCCTAGACTCGTTAACTCGCGGGCCAGCTCATTATAAAAACATTGACATAAAAATAATTAAAATATATTAAAATTCAAGACTGTATTTTTAAATTATTAAAAATGCTTAAAAAATAATATTTTATATTTTATATCAAGTGATTTTTAATTATTTATCTTTTAATTGCTCATTTTATTTGTGACTTTATTATAACAAAAGCTTCAATTAATATTATTTTCTCTATTTCAAAATAAACAAGTTGGATCGTGAGCCAACTTGAATTTGTAGAATAATTAGAGCATCTCTAGCAATATACGCTTAGGCGTGTCCAACTAAAATCTATCTACAATACATGACTATCACATAAAATAATTTGTATACATATTTTATCCTAAGAAAACTTATTTATTTAAAAAAAAATCAGTTAATATAAAGTCATAAGTAACTAAGACTAAATAGTCATGATCTTGAAGTCAAATCATGACAGATCATTAACATGAACAGGCGCCATGATTTGGGATCACGAGTCCTGTGTTTCAAAGTAACCCTCCCTCCCTCCCTCCCTCAACATTTAAATGCAATTTACAACAAACATCAATTTAACCAAGTGCAGGAAACCAATCCAAGGGGAAGATATGTACACCAAGCATGGGAAGCAGGAACCTCAAAGAAGATCCAGTAGGTAGCTTATTTTTTTTTAGCAGTAAACAAGAAAGGAAATCCAGCTACAATGGCTAAAATAACATGAGGAGAAGGTCAAGTTAAGGAGCAGAAAGCCAAAATAAAAATGCAGCTTCCATAGCATTAAAAATGTAAACCAATCATGCAAAGCAGGAACCCGGAAGAAGATCCAGTAGGTAGCTTATTTTTTTTAGAAGTAAACAAGAAAGGAATCCAGCTATAATGGCTGAAATAACATGAGACGATGGTCACGTTAAGGAACAGGAAGCCAAAATAAGAATGCAGCTTCCATAGCATTAAAAATCAGGAGAAAAAAGAAATATAATAGATATTCGTTCATCTGGCCTACATTTCATAGACGGAGTGGCACATTTGAAGGAAAGAAAATAAAATCATAAGTAGAAAATTAGAAATAAAAAAGAGAAGATGATTTATAAAATTGGAATGTCAGAAATCAAAAGTAGCTTACATTTTGAAATCACTTCTCATAAATAAACAAATAATGCTTAATGAAAGTAGAGAAAATCCAAAATAATTAGAAACAACAACAATAACAAAGCCTTAATCCCACCACGTTGGGTCGGCTACATGAATCCTTTTTCTCTATTGTGTCCCATTTAACGTCATATTTTTATTTAGCTCTAATAAATTAAGATCATTTTTTATACAATAAGCCCAAGTCTTCACAGGTTTACCTCTACCTTTCTTAACATAAGTCGAATCTAAAACATCTATTCTCCGAATCGGATCATCAAATGGTCGACGTTTAATGTGACCAAACCATCTAAGACGACTCTCTCTAATTTTGTCCGCCATTGGAGCTACACCAACCCTATCACGGATATATTCATTTCTCATTTTGTCTCTAAGTGTAAAGCCACTCATCCACCTAATCATTCTCATCTCGGCAACAATTAGTATTATGCTTCTCTTTTAAAGGCCAACATTCAACGCCATAGAGCATTGCAGGTCTCGCCACCACCTTATAAAATTTAACTTCAGTCTAAGCGGAACTTTTCTATCACACAAAAGGCCTGAAGCATTCCTCTTGTTCAACCAACCAACTTGAATTCTACTATTAACATCCCCATCTATATCACCATCGCTTTGAACAACAGACCCGAGATATCTAAATCGTTCACACTTTTTATTAATTTGATCACCCAAAGTTACACTTCTGTCATTAGTGCTACTACTACTAAAATTACATTCCATGTATTCAATTTTAGTTTTATTCAAATGAAGGCCTTTAGACTCCAATGTAGACCTCCATAATTCAAGTTTTTCATGGGCTCTTTCTCTCATCTTATCCACGAGAAGGATATCATCAGCAAAAAGCATACACCAAGGTACATTCTCCTGTAAATGTCAAGTAAGACCATCCATAACTAAAGCAAAAAGATATGGGCTTAAAGCCGATCTCAAATGTAATCCAACAGAAATAGGAAAATATTAGGTCAATCCTCCTTAAGTTCGAACACAAATAACAGCTCTAGTATACAAATCTTTAATGACTTTAATATAAGTCAAATCAACATCTTTCTTCTCAATAACTCTCCAAAGGATGTTTCTTGAAACCTTATCGTATGCTTTTTCTAAATCAATAAAAATCAAATGTAGATCCTACTTAGAAAGTCCAAATAAAAAGACATGTAATCAATAATTAAGAAATAGCCTTTTTTAGAGAGGGGAACTCCATTTCTCGAAAATACCAACACCAAACGAAGAAATCGATTGACCGAACTCCTTTCCTTTCACATTGAAGCCAATTGACCAAACTCCTTGCTCATTAACCAGGATGAAGGTGAAAATTTGCATCTTCCTCCCCTCTCCAAATCTAATTCATGTCTTCCCACAAGATAAATTAAAGAAATAGAGAGAGTATAATTTTTTTGTAGAACGAATAAAAGAGGAAAATTTATAGCGAACAGTAAGTGTTGACAGTTTTGCAGTTATACTGAGTTTTCAAAGAATCTCCCAACAACATTTTCTTTATGACTTTTTTTTTTATTTTGAGTATTCCACGCAACTTTATTTAAGACACGTTGTCGGCACTATTTTCGATTGGAGTTGCCTATTGGAAGATATCGGTCACTTGAATCGAAATCTCGTCTATATATATATATATATCAAAGTTTAGAAAAATATGAAATCAAACTGAGCCCATATTTTTCATAATTTAAATGAAAGAGCACTATATCTCAAACTCTGTATCAATCACGAAGGATAAACATAAGACTTGAGGATGAGGCTCAATCAAATAAACTAAGAAATATATGACATCCATTTGGTCTGCGAAAACATTTTTATTTGCCAACAAGTTCTCTTATTTAATACGAATAATTAAATAGGGTTTATATTAAGCTGGGTTCAGAAAAGCTTCCTATAAGGGCAAGCCCTTATAGTTACTTACATCATAGATAACCGAAATCACCTAAGAAAACTCTCGATAAAAATCAGAAAATATTATCTTCAAAAAGGTCAAAAGATAGGACTTTTCAATGAAATCGAACAAAGATGTGTGAAAGGGGAATGATTCAAATTTGAAACATTTATTGTGGAATCTAAAGGAGGAAGAATTAGGGGATGTCATAGATCCGAAGGAGAACCTCGATGACTTCCCAAGCTACCTTATGGTTTGACTTCAGTTTAGAGGAGAAATATTTAAGTGTTTCATCGTGTCAATTTTATTTAATTAGGGTTTTTGATTAAGGCTTACATTCATATGAAACGATCACACAAATAGCCTGGAAGATATGAGAATTTAGGTTGTGACGAACGACAACCTCGGAATCCTAAGACGAGTTAGGGCTTAGATTGTACAGCAGAGCTGTACAAATGCCTAAAGAGAGGATGAGGATTTATGTCGCAATAGCCAAACAAAATCGAAATCCTATGACTTGTTGTTTGATTCTAAGGAATAGTTTAACTGCTGAAGACATGTTCTGCTGTTGAAGATGGTCATGTTGCCCACAATGCTAGCTCCAAGCTCCTCATCGTAGCACATTCGAGTTTGATGTTAGTTCTATGTGTACATGCAATTGTTGAGTCAACGATCTGCTGCCGAGTACCTCCTATGAAACAAACTACTGGCCCCCTATTCTAAGGTATAATGTGTAAGAGAAACAATAGCAGGTACAAGTGTAATGACAAAATTTAAAAAGGAGCTAGCATGCATTGTATCAACAAAAGAACTACCTATCAACAAAAGAACCATTGTATCAACAAAAGAACTACCACCTGAAAAACTCAAGAAAGAGCGGCAAATGACCCACAATGAAAAAACTCAAGAAAGAGCGGCAAATGACCCACGATGAAGGAAAACTTGAGAAAATCAGCAAATGACTCACAACGGAAATCTTGAAGCAACAACAACAAATGGCGACTTAAAGAAAGTTACCGAAACACAGGAATATCCCAGAAAAATACCACGAGTGCTTTACTAAAAGCTCAAGTAAAATCACACGAAAAATTTGAAGAGAGAAACCCGCAAGTACTCGGGTCAGGGCTAGGCTCAAATATTATATATTTGTACTTGAGAGATGTCGAAGGCAACTGTCGGTCACCCGAATGTATAGAGTCAGCCACTCAACTAGAAGGGTGTTCTACTAAACTTAACTTAGGAGGGTACTCCTTAGCCCGGTACTGGTGATTGACAAGTGGACAATAGAATTTATATTTAAAATTTATATTTTTGCATGCATATAGATTTCAGACATACAAAAGGAAGTTGTATCAATTTTATGGTAAAAAACGATCTTGTATCTGTTCTTACCAGTTTTGAAAAATTATGATTGTCCACAAGTCGATCACGCCGTCGGGCATAAGACCGCAACAACCTAAGAAGGTGCGGGCCGAGGAGGGTGCGGGTCCCCCGCTAGTCTTGTGTCAGTGAATAATACTATCATCCTACCGTTCATCAGATCTCAGGATTAGGTCATAATATCGTAGGATGGAATATCATTCCGCTCTACCATCGGTGTGTTTTTGTCATCACCGCCCTAAGGCCCGAAACAAAACCGACCTACTTGCGATATTGCTTGATGGTTTCATGTATAGCAAAAAACTATATATGTGCATTTATGTATCGAACACA